TAGCGCTTGACTAGTAGCTCACAGGCTGGTAATTTGAACCCACCCAGCGGAACCTAAGAGTCCTAGTGTGGCACTGCCGGTAATGCGCTGGACTGCGAGGTTGACGGTTCAAGCTCATCACTCGCTCATCGGAAACCCTATGCAGGTCTCTCTCAGTCAAAATCAGACTTGACGGCACTTAACAACAACTAAGGGAAACTCAGAAGAGAAATCTGGTGATGCGCTTCTGAAAGGCCACAGTCTCTAAAACCCACTGGTGCATTTGTGTTCTCCTTACTGACTTGATAGCACATGGCAACAGGGACAGGCTTAGGTGGTTTTATCAGGTTTAGGGGCAGAGCCTTAGAAATTCAGGGGAGAGTTCTGAAACTTTTGTGCCTTTCTTAGTTTAAGGGTCTTGTCATGAGAACAAGAAAAAACCATATTCATCCTAAATTATCTTTCCAAGTCTGAAAGGAAAGTCTTACTAGGAAATTTCAGTTCAGGTCCAATTCCCAGGAATACTACTTGCCCTACTAGGTGAGCTTCAGGAGTTAACGTTTTGTCTTGTTAAATTTCAGTGACAAACAATGTTAGTAAGCACAATTACTAATTAAGTGGACAGGTAGTCACATGGCCTTTCCCTGTTGTAGAGGGAGCTATCCCTGAGGTCCTCTGCTACTTCAGTAATTCCAGAACCAAAACACCCCACAAACCTGTCCTTGCCACAGACGGTTTCTGAGGCCGTCATCTTTCCAGACGCAGACCTGTATTGGGTCTAGCGCTTTTACCACTGTGCTACCAGGGTTCCCTTTCAGGAATCCAAAGGGGTGAGGTTTCTGATGAAGGCCTAAGAAAGTCATCGACATTCCCCACTCAGGCCTCTGGAAGCTGCTCACTAGGACGAATGAAGCCCGTCTGCCCTGCGTCCTCATTCTGAGACTACGCCTCACGGTTACACACTGCCTGGTGACAGCTGGGGTTGTCAGGATTTCATTTCATCTTCAGAGTGTCCCTCGCAGCCTGCTTCTACTTCTAGATGCAGTTTTGCAGGTTTGGGAATAGAGCAGTTTGCCATTTAACTAACATCAAAACCCAGGCCTGAATTGGAGACTGGAGCCTCCCTCAATTTCTCCTAGTGAGCAGAGCGTACAATAAGGTTGCAAAGGAAAATGTGGGAACTAGCGTTTCGGGTGGCAGCTGCAGGAGAGCTTGTTGCTTTGGTGTGGTCAGGTTGGGATGGGCATTCTCATAGGAGAAACGGGAAGGGTACGGAAGCATTTCTGAGAGCTGGGAAGAAGGCATTTGTGCAATTTGTGCTGGATTCCACACTACCTGTGGTCTACAAAAGACCAGGGCTATGAATGTTGAAAAATCTGGATGCATCAGTATCCCAGGTACCCAGTGAAAAAAGACAAATCCACTAGGGCAACTCATTTTAAACACATGTATCAAAGAATTTCCACAGATAAAGTCTCAAAGAATACTAACTCAGGAGGGGGAGTCTGGGTAAAAGCCTGTCCTAACAAACTGTACAATCAGACTGGCAACACTTAACGAGACCAAGAAGGGACTGACAGTAAAAGCCACACCCACTGCTAGCCAGGACTTAATTCCATTCCAACCCCTAGTGACCCTCTAGGACACAGCACGGCTGCTCTGCTGGGGTTTGTGAGCCGAAGTCTTCATGGAAGCAGACAGCCTTGTCTTTCCCCATCTGAGCAGCTATTGTGTTTGAACTGCTTACTTTGCGGTTAGTAGTCCAACGCTTAACTCACCTCTACCACCAGAGCTCCTTATAAGGAATAAAAGCCTATTAAAACAGGTTAAATACAAGAGAATCAAATAGGACAAGGAAATGTTAAAAATAGTACCACTGAAATGAACCATTTATGGGTTACATAGATTACTCACAGCTGGAAAGAGACTGAGAGATCTAAAGTTACACAAAATGTTGTTAGGTGCCATCGCGTCAGTACCTACTCAGCGACCCTGTGCACAACATAACAGAACACTGACCAGTCCTGTGCCAACTTCACAATTGATGCTATGCCACCTGACCCCACTGCCGCTGCCACTGTGCCAATCCATCTCACTGGGGGTCTTCCTCTTTTTCTCTGACCCTCTACTCTACCAAACATGATCTCCTTCTCCAGGGACTGGTTCCTCCTGATAATATGTATGAAGTGTGAGAGATGAAGTTCGACCATCCTGGCTTCCAAAGAATATTCTGGCTATACTTCCAGCACAGATTTGTTTGTTCTTTTGGCAGCCTGTGGGACTTTGAATATTCTCCTCCAACACCAAAACTCAAATGCACCAATTCTTCTATGGTCTTCCTTATTCGCTGTCCAACTTTCACATACTTATGAGGTTATTGAAAATACCTTGGCTTGAGTCAGGCAAACCTTAGTTGTAAAACTGACATCTTTGCTCTTCAACGCTTTAAAGAAATCTTGGTGCAGCAGATTTGATCCCAGCAAAATGAAGTCTTTGACAACTTCAATCTTATCTTCATTTATGGGGATGTTGCTTATTGGTCCAGTTATGAGGATTTTTGTTTTCATTACATTGAGATGCAATCCATACCAAAGGCTGTGGTCTTTGATCTTCTTCAGTAAGTATTAAGTCCTCTTTGCTTTCAGCAAGCAAGGTTGTATCATCTGCATATCGCAGGTTGTTAATGAGTCTTCCTTCAATCCTGATGCCACATTTTTCTTCATTAACCCAGCTTCTCGGATTGTTTGCTCAGCATAGAGGTTGAATAAGTATGGTGAAAGGCTACAATCCTGGTGCACACTCTTCCTAATTTTAAACCATTCTGTGTTACCTTGTTCTAGTCTAACAACTGCCTCTTGGTTTATGTACAGATTCCTCATGAGCAGAATTAAGTGTTCAGAAATACTCATTCTCCACAGTACTGTCCATAGCTTGTCATGATCCACACAATCGAAAGCCTTGTATATTCAATAAAGCACAGGTAAACATATTTCTGGTATTCTCTGCTTTCAGCTAAGATCCATCTGATGTCAGCAATGATATCCCTCGTTCCACGTCCTCTTCTGAATCCGGCTTGAACCTCTGGAAGTTCTCTGTTAATATTTGGTTGCAATCATTTCTGTATTATCTTTAGTAAAACTTTACTCACATGGGATATCGATGATTCTGTCCAATGATTTCCACGTTCCATTGGGTCACCTCTCATTGGAATGGGCACTAGTATGGATCTTTTCAGTCATTTGGCCAGGTAGCTGTCTTCCAAATTTCTTAGCATAGATGAGTGAATGCCTCCAGTGCCCCATCAGTTTGTTGAAAGATTTCAATTTGTATTCCATTTATTCCTGGTGCCTTCTTCTTTGTCAATGCCATACACAAAATACAGGACAGAAAAAAGGAAAGGAAGGCTAGGTTAGTGGGTTTTTCGATGAGATGGAGGAACTCATCTCTAAGAGGAAATGGTTAAGTGCTGTTAACACATAGCAACCCTGTATAGTTTCTGAAGCTGTAAATCTTTGTGAGAGCAGAAAGCTTCATCTTTCTCCTATATAGCAGTGAGTGGGCTAGAACTGCTGAACTTGTGGTTTCAATCCAGAGCTTATCCTGGAGTCGCCATGCTCCCAGATACATTGGTAGGCAGTATTTGAAGAAAAGATTATATGCACTGGTCTTGCTATGCAGTTGATTCTGACTCAACTAACTGTTCCACTAAGTCTACAAGGCCTTTCAAAAGATCGCAACATTTTTCTTCTGAGGCACCTCTGGTTGGGTTGGATCACTGCTAACATTCCACTCACTACTAACCAATCTTTTGAAAAATAGTGTAGCATTTAACTGTTTGCGCCACCCTGAGACTCCAGAAGCATCCGCTTGTTCATGTGAAGTGCCGTTCAGACTCACAGCCACCCGGTGTATTTCCCAGGAGCAGCGGGGGAGCTTGAACTTGCCGACTTTACTATACAGTTCAAAGGATGTTGCAGTTCCGTGCATTAACCCACAGTGCCACAGAAGGACTCCGAAGAAGCTTGCACTATTCCTGTGCTTTAAAACCATGAAGGGGGTGGTTAACAAGGTTACCATTGTTGGAGGGGAGGTAGGTACACCCAGGGTTTCTAAGACAATGTGCTTTTTCTTTGACTATGGGAAGGTTTGTTGTTAAGTGCAGTAGAGTCGGTTCCGATTCTGTGACTCTGTATAGTTTCCGAGGAGTGGCTCGTAGGTTGGAACCGCCGACCTTGTGGTTAGCAGTCCAGTGCTTATCCTACGGCGCCCCATCAGGACTTCATGAGAAGGCAGGTAGATGGTTTTTTATTTTATCTGTTACATAATCGTTATGCTTTTAGCTGCTAACTGCAAGGTCAGCAGTTCGAATGCACCAGCCCCTCCGTGAGAGAAAGATGAGATTTCTGGTCTTGTAAAGATTTACAGTCGCGGAAACCGTACACAGAAACTGAGTGGGCCGCGCACAACCACCATCACTACATGAGCGCTCCCATAATACTCTCAGGCTATAAAATAGGGCGCTACTATAAAAATGTGGGGCCGCAGGTAATGACGCCGGCAGATCCCGACACCACTCCCATTCCCCAGGAGCGCTGACCAGGAGGCCGGATGTGCCCTGTGCGCGCTCAGTCTAGCTTCCGGCGCGGAGACGGCGTCCTCCTACGTCATGGTCCATGAACTCCCTCCCGCCCCCCGCCCTCCCCCAACCCAGCAGAAGCAGTGCCCCGGGGCTCCTGAGGGACGTGAGGGCGGTGTCCCTCAGCTCGGTGGGCGGGTCTTCCGGGGGCGGGCCTTCCGGCGGGTGAGTGACAGACGCAGCAGCAGCGGCGGCGGCAGTGGCTGCGGAGCCTGAGGCGACAGCATCTGCGGCGGCGGCGACGGCTGCGGCTTGCGTCTCCTTGGCGGCGGGCTGCTGGCCGGGCGCCGGCCGGACAGCGGGCCGCGCTGGCGACGGCGATGGCGGCGCTGATGGAGATCCAGATGGACGAGGGCGGCGGTGTGGTGGTGTACCAGGATGACTACTGCTCCGGCTCGGTGATGTCGGAGCGCGTGTCGGGCCTGGCGGGCTCCATCTACCGCGAGTTCGAACGCCTCATCCACTGCTATGACGAGGAGGTGGTCAAGGAGCTCATGCCGCTCGTGGTGAATGTGCTCGAGAACCTGGACTCGGTGCTCAGCGAGAACCAGGAGCACGAGGTGGAGCTCGAGCTGCTTCGCGAGGACAACGAGCAGCTGCTCACCCAGTACGAGCGCGAGAAGGCGCTAAGGAAGCAGGCCGAGGAGGTGGGTGCGTGCGCATGCGGCTCCCGGACCTTAGACCCAACCCCGCCCTGCGCCCCGACCCGTCCCCAGGCCCCAAACCCCACCCACATGCACCCTGACCCATCCCCAGGCCCCAAACCCCACCCACACGCACCCTGACCCATCCCTAACCCCAAACCCCACCCACATACACCCTGACCCACCCCGAGTCCTCAAACCCCACCCACATGCACCCTGACCCGTCCCCAGGCCCCCAAACCCCACCCACATACACCCTGACCCATCCCCAGTCCCCAAACCCCACCCACATACACCCTGACCCATCCCCAGTCCCAAACCCCACCCACATACACCCTGACCTACCCCCAGGCCCCAAACGCCACCCACATATACCCTGACCTACCCCTAACCTCAAACCCCACCCACATACACCCTGACCCACCCCCAGGCCCCAAATCCCACCCACATACACCCTGACCCATCTCCAGTCCTCAAACCCCACCCAAATACACCCTGACCCATCCCCAGTCCCCAGACCCCACCCACATATACTCCAGCCCATACCCAGACCTCTCACCTCACATCCCAACCCATGCCCAGACCTCCCACATACCCTGGTCCATCCCTAGTACCCAGACCCACCCCCCATACCCCCAGCCTGTCTCCAAATCCCCCACCCCACATACCCAGACCTAGCCCTGTCCTCTGCAGCCCCCCGCCCCCACCCTTTACCCAGTTCCCTCTGGCCTCCCATATCAGCTGGTCCCTAGACTCCCACTGGCCTACCCTCCACCCTCAAACCTCCTGCCCAGTCCCACATGTTACCTAATCCCCTCTGACACCCCCACCCCCACCTAACCTGGTCCCTAGACCCACATCTGGCTACCAGAGAATTCCTTGTCTCCCTATCCAATATCCCCATCCCACCTACCCTGTCCCGTTCTGCCCATCAGCCCCATCCATCCTGACCCTGTCCCCACGGCCAGGTAATTCTAGTCTGGTGCCCTTCCGGAGAGATTACTTCCCCCTCCTCTTGGGAACCCCAGCCTGTGCTCCCTGAGGCAGCCTTGGCCGGCAGCACCTGGGACAGCAGCCGCCACAAGGAGCCTGCGCTGGAGCAGGGCCTCCATCTCCTCTCCCTCTCCTCTCTCCGCTCCTCTCTGTTCTCCTGCCTACTTCTCCTTCCAGATGCCAATGCATGTACTCCTGTGTGTTTTTCCCCAAATTTAATTTCCTAGACTCCCTTTCCTACTGCCTGTGGTTGCTGGTCTTCTAAACCCTTGGGGAGAGGGGATCTTTCATTTTTAGGGTGCTGTGGCTGGGACCCCTTGCTTGTCCCCAGCTCCGTACTTTGAAGGGCAGTGATGGGCAGGCCTTTGGGGACTGGTATAAAGTAGTGCGGCCGTCAGGCTGCCTGGAGAGACACCGCCTTCCAGAGGGGACTGCTTTGCTCTTTGGATCTCTTGTCAATGAGGTTGTTTGGCTCGTGCAGAAAGGCTGGTGTTGAGGGGCAGGAAGGGAGAGACGATGTTGGATTTGGAGGAGCTGCTTTAAAGAGTGTCTGATCCTGTTCTAGGGTGTCTCCACCACCTGGGAAGGGCTTGTTTGCAAGCCGGTTAGAGGAGGGGACACCACAGACGCCCAACTTCAACCATGCAGACCTTTCCCTTTGTAGAAACACGAGGAGAGTGCAGTTGAGTCTGGTGACTTGGGCCTTGTCCCTGCCTTGGCACACACCCAGTCTGCAGTTTTGAGTTTCTATCAGCCCTTGAGGCTCTTGGGGCCGTACTTCCAGGAGCTAGCTACTGCTCTTAACTTAAGAACACACACTCGACTTCAGCATGGAAAGGAAGTGTTGCCTTGGAGTCTCGGCTCTGTCTTCTCCTGGGGTGCTGTGTGTGTTTCAGGTGTGCTTGTGAAAAGGAGCAGTATGTTGTATCATGCATTCCAACTTCAGGCGGTTTGTTTTGCTGTGGGGTTTCCCAGATCTGTGAGGGGGCTGTTTGCTATTAATGGGAGTGCCCAGGTCCCCAAAATGGCTTTAAAGCTCTCCAGGTAGGAGTCCTGGTATAGCACTGCGGGTTAATGCGCTGGGCTGCAAGTTTAGTTTGTGGTGGTTCAATTTCACCAGCTGCCCCTCGGAAACCCCATACCGGGACTCTGTGAGTTGGAGTTGACTCAATGGCATTTCACAATGATAACAACGGTATAGGGGTACAAGGACTCATGGATTTAGAGGCCAGAGTGGACCGCAGGCATTTTTCAGGAAGGACACTGGCTCTCAGGAGTAGGGGGACCCCAGCAAGGTCACTGCCCTGGAGGAGCTGAGGCGGGTTGGAGCATGACCCCTGGCCTTGGGGGTGGGGGTGCCGGGCTGCCTGAAACCTCAGCTTCTTGACTGCTCAGGGGACCATTTGATGTGGGGCTGAGGGGCTGAGGCCTGCCTACGTTCCTTTCTCTCGCCCTGTTCCTGTGCGGTTACAACGGTGCACGACAGGATGAACAATCAGAAGGGTTAACGTAAGACTGAGAACCAGCCTCCCAGCTTAGAAAGAGTGCAGGTCTGCTTCCCCAACCAGGCACTGTGCTCCCACCTCCCCTTCAGACTCACTGATGACCCCAGAGCGCCCCTCTTCCCAAGCCTCCAAGGCTGGAGAAGAGCTGCAGAGAGAGCGCTTGGTGAGCACACAGCTGCCAAGAAGAAAGGTTGCCCAGCAGACAGCCTCAAAGGCATGGTCACTAGATGGGACAAGGCCAGGGCTGGGCTCTGCCACGATTCACTGTGGCATCCTGGGTAGCCTGCTTTTCTAGACAGGAATCCTGGTGACATGTGTGCATGTCTGGGGACACACGAGCAGGGCCACCGAGGGCCTTTCTCTCAGGGGCTGCTCAGCTGGGGTAACCGGCCTGCAGCCTCCGAACAGAGCCACCATCCTCCTCGACTGCCATGGCCGCAGCTGGAGGCCCAAGTTGGTTCCAGTGGTACCACTGAGTGACCAGCTGGATGGGCTGACAGGAGCAGAGACAGCATGGTGCCAGCGCTGCCCTGGGTGCCAGTGGGGCCCAAACGTCCACTCCTGTCCTTTGAGACTGGGGAAGTGGTGATGAGCACGGTGATGAGCTCGTGGGGCCTCCCAGTTCAAGCCCAGTGGGAACTCTGGAGAAGAAAGGCTTGGTGGTCTGTCCTTGTAAAGGTGACAGACTTGACATCGCCACAACCCAGCTGCAGTCCTGCTGGAAGCTGCTTGCCTCTTCTCTCTCTTGAGGAGCGGCTGGTGGCTTCGGATACCAATCCTTTAGTTCGCCGCTGAGCGCTTTTACCACTGTGCCACCAGGGTTCTTGCAGGTTCTACAAAGACCTTAAAACCTGAAGCTATTTGTTTTTAAATGCACCAAGTTCTTTTCCAGTGAAGGTAGGTACCTGAGGGTGTTCAGGCTGGAGAAGGAGTTGAGGCCTCTGGTATGATCTAGAAGGCAGCATGGGGCAGCTGCATGCGTTCCTCTGACCCAGGCAGAGATCCGGGGCTCAGCTCAGAAGACAAAGGCCCGGGAGACCCCATGGGAGTCCTACTCAGATTAGACATTGTTTGTTTGCCGTAAAGGCCAGTGGTGGTCCCTGTCCCCCCACTGCACCTTCTGCGCAGCCTTCACCTCTCTGTCGGGGGGAGGCTTGGGTGGTGCTCGGAAGCTGAACAGGTTTCTGTGGAGCTTTCAGACTAAGATCAACCAGAAAACAAGTGCTTACTTCCAGAACGCAGTCCCCTCTTGGAGGTGGTGCAGGAGTGGGCAGCATGGAGCAGCTGTGATTAGGAGATGCTTTGGTAGCTGCTGACAGCAAGTTGCCTGGAAAGCTTAGCCCTAAAGAAACTGCCCGGGCTGCTTGCTAACGAGCCTGTTAGCTGTTCTGGCCCACAACAGCCCTGTGTGGCCTGTTTGAGGCTGTACACCTTGAGTGCAGCAGAAAGCCTCATCTTCCATGTGCGGAGCGGCTGGTAGGTTTGAACTGCCCACCTATGGTTAGCAGTCCAGTGCCACCAGGCTCTGGACGTCCATCTACAAGACACATATCAGTGGACATTTGCTGACACCTTACCATTTGCTGTCTTGTATGTAGACCATCCAAACAGGAAAGTTTTGTCCAAAATGTGTGTTTTTGTTTTTTTTCTTAAGTCATATGAAAGTAATGCATTTCCTAGAGAAACCTTGGGATAGGATTAAGTTGGGGTCAGGGATGGTTTTGCTTTGTTTTCCTAAGTGAATGAATTGCCTCTGAGGTTTTCACTCTAGTTCCCGTGTTACCGGTACCAGGGCCGTTGAGTTGCTTCTGACTCAGGGTGACCCCCGGTGTGTCAGAGTAGACCTGTACTCCTTAGGGATTTCCAGACATATCATCAGGACTTTCTTCTGAGGTATCTACCTCGGCATAGACTTGAACCTGTAGCCCTTCCAGTTAACAGGCAAGCGTGTTAACCATTTGCACCAGCAGGGGACGGGTTCTAGTACACGTCATTTTCTAGGCCTTTGGATCATTTGGCTGAATGGTGAGCCGGGGGTGAGTTCTGCTCTTGGCCTGAAGAGGGACTGAGGCACGTAGTCACCAGGGTTCCAGCAGCCTCTGCCTGACCCAGAAGCCTGCTCTTTCTTAGGATTTTGAGAGTGTTATTCCACATTTCTCACCCCTTCTCTATACATTTAATGTTAATTCTCGCTTTTTCAAAAAAACCTTTTTATTTTGAAATAATTCCCAGGGAAGCTGCAGAAATGCAGGTTTTCACCAGATTCCCTGCATTTGCTTTATTCTCATTCTCCCCCTCGCTCTACTGATGCCTGAGCAGTCTCTGTGTGCTGCTGGCCTGCCTTGTTTGGGACTGTCCCTCAGTCCCTGCTCTTGGTGACCTTGGACGCCATGACACATGTGGCTTACCCTCAGCTTAGCTTTCGAGCATGCTTGTGCTCAGACTCAGGGTTTGCTCTTTGGTGGGGAGACCCCAGAGGCATTGCTATGCCCTTGTCTTAGAATGTCAGGTGCTTACAGTGTGCATGGTGGGTGCCAGCGAAGGAATTGTGCCTTCCGGTCACACTCACTAGGTGGCTACTGCTTGAAGACACCTGACCCACTGCTGTTGAGTTGGTTCCAACTCAGCAACCCTGTAGGACAGAGCAGAACTGTGCCATTGGGTTTCCCAGGCTGTCATCTTGCAGACTGCTTCATCCTCCTCCCGCAAAGTGGATGGTAGGTTTGAACCACTGACCTTTCAGTTAGCAGCCAAGTGCTTAATCACTGTGTCACCAGGCAGGGCTTGTTTGTCAAAAGGATGTCTGTAAAAAGCAAACCCGGGAGCACCACCTAGAGCCTTCCACTGAGGTGACTTTCCCAGGCTTGTGTCTTCCTTGGCTTTGATTAGAGTTGGGGGCCCCGTCAGCCTCCTTGCCTCGCACTTAGTCACCATAGTTGTGGCCAGGTGGCTTTTTTGTTT